TGGATCCAGATGTATTTACACGAAAGTAAGCTACTATTATACGCTGGTATTCTGTGAAGGCTTGATCCTTTCCCAGTAAGCCGATGCATTCGTGTACAAGCATAATAAAGGTGCAGCTTGGCACTACCTCGTGACTTTCATGATAACTAACATTTTTTTTATTTAAATGAAATATATTTTATTGTAACAACGTATTTTACCGTTCAGTTGCGGTATAAGAATATGCATTACACTATATCATTCCGTGGGTGTCGTAAGAGGCGATAGAGCGAAACCAACCGGGAAACGTGACGTACAATTTCGTGGTCACTTGGAAGACAAGGCAAAATTGGCCTCTAAAAAGCTTGGCGTGCTCAGCAGAGCGGGACAGTATTACATGCCGGCACACCGCCTGCAACTTTACAAGGCGCAGGTTCGGCCTCACATGGAATACTGTTCCCATCTCTGGGCAGGGGCTCCCCAGTGCCAGCTCCTTCCACTTGACCGCATCCAGCGCAGAGCGGCTAGAATCTTCGACGACCGAGCCCTTTCCGATCGGCTCGATTCATTGGAACTGGGAAGAGATGTTGCATCCCTTTGCATTTTCTTTCGCATTTACCACGGGGAGTGCTCTGAGGAATTGTTCGGATTAATCCCAGCCACCAAATTTCACGAACGCACATCGCGGCAGAACTCCCGATACCATCCACACCATCTGGATGATTGGCGATCCACCACTGTGCGATTTAGAAGATGTTTTCTTCCTCGCACGACTTCCTTGTGGAATCGATTACCATCAGCGATTTTTCCGGACCGATACGACTTAGGGACCTTCAAGAAAAGAGCGTACTCCTTTTTAAAAGGCCGGCAACGCATCTGCAATTTCCTCCCTGATGTTGCAGTTGTTCGTGGGCGGCGGTAGTCACTTACCATCAGGTGAGCCGCATGCTCGTTTGCCCCCTATCTTATAACAAAAAAAAAAGATGAGCAGCAGCGTCTTCCTAATAAAAACACAAAATGATATACCTCTTTGGGGGGGCCTATGTTCATCAGTGGAGTTTGAACGAATTTCACCCAAAGGACAATCTTTGCAAGTCGGCATCCAACGCCTTGAACGTTGGTTTCAAGACGATACTATTTTAAATTAGGGAGGTCCCTTATGGTGCTAGATTCTGAAAATAAATATTTTTTTCTTTCTAACATTGAACTAACCCGGCCGAAAACTTGGCACCTTCATATAGCTTAAACAAGCTTATAGTATTATAACGTAATACTTTATATGTGCTTTAGGAAAGCCTCCTAGAAGCTTTACTTGCAATATTTACTTACCTACAGCGTCTCTGAGTTATAAAACAAAAACATTTATTTTTTACCATACTGCGTGACGCAAAGGAGGTTAATGTGTTTGTCAGCCTATATATGTACGTATGTATGTTTGTTCCTTTGTGAAGCTCTAGAGACCAAACGTATGGGCCGATTATGATGATTCTTACGTCAATCGATTTATCTTAATCTTGTGAGTATTATTAAAGTGATGAAAGTAATAGCTACAAGCAGACGCCATCGACGAACTATGTCAAGTGGAGTATCATGGAATAGGTCTTTGAAAATTAGGTTTTTGAAATCATTTTTCATTTTGAATGACTATGTAGGATCTATAACGGTTTAAAGTTGGTTTGCAATCATTCTCACTTAAATTTTTAATACTTAAAATAAAAGCTGTGATTTAACTAGTTGTAATATAATCGTATAAAAAGTCTTATTAAGGTGAAAAATAATTATTCCCTTTTCAGTAAACTGTATTATGCAGTCGGGTATTTTAATTACTGTTTTAACTATTAAGCTTTTAATTAATGAAAAATATGTGGAATATTTAAAACTTGTAAATGTTTTTTCTAAGGAATACAATATTCATATTATATTCTCTTCAATATTATTTATTACTATTTATTTTCATCATCATCATTATAGCACTTCTCAAGTCCACTGCTGAAGATAGGCCTCCCCTAAGGAATGCCACAAAGCACGGTTCTGAGTCACCTGCATCCATCGACTTCCTGACCAGATCGTCATTCAATCTAGTGGAGGGTCGTGGTACACTTTGCCTACCAATACAATGCTTTTATTGTATGGCCGGCCTATTACCGCTACAGCTCCACTGGGTGAGTATCTCTGGTTCTACTGCGGATATTCTCATTTCTAAATTTATCACGCAAAGAAATCCAGAGCATAGCCTTCTCCATAGCTCACTGAGCGATCTTGAGCGTCCTCATACGGCCAGCAGTGAAGGAACACGTCTTAGTTCCATAAGTCATCACTGGCAACAAGCACAGGTTGTACAATCTTGTTTTCAGGTTTTGAGGTATATCTAACGAGTAGGTGTTATGTAATTTTCCGAACGCTGCCCAGCCGAGTTTAATTCGTCGATTGAACTCTCGATCAAAGTTGGACTTAACTATAGTATGTTTCTAGAGCAGGCGGAGAAACGTACATTGACCTTTGACAATATCATCGGGGTAGCCAACCTTTTTTCTTAGGTTTTATCTTTTTATCCTTGTATTTTTACATACATCATCAGAGTGAAAGATAAGAGTACCGAGTGCGAAGTTCTTCGCAGGTCCTATGTCTATTATTTTATTATGAAGAAAGAAGATTATCCTGTACTTATATGAATTAAAAAGCAAATTAACATTAATTTAAATTTATTATTTATAAACCATAAGAGTTAATACAAATTTAATAATTACGTTAACAGTAGGTAAGTAGTGTAATAAGTAGGTACCTAGTTGTACAAAACATAACCACTTCTTGGCAGTCAGGTAAAATGGCGAACTATTAATGTATTTTTTAGCAGTTAACCTTGAAGTATGCATAAAAAATCTCATAGTAGATTGTCAGAGACACTTGACATACTATGCTTTTGTAACTATTTCAAAATCATTTTCTGATGATAAAGACCTGGAAAAGTTCGCCACATTGATTATAAAACTATCTACAGTTTTATCAGTTTTATACAGTTTTATCCAATTAATTTCATTTGTTTTCTTCTTTTATGACGTGGTGAATGCAGTTTTTCCACTTTATATGGTCAATATTGTATAGCCCTTCTTCAAATAGTTTTTGACGTCTGCCATTTTAAAAGTGGTATTGTTTCGGTTTAGGTTTGTTATCTATGAATGACCGCTTCCTCCACCCCACCCCGTACCATAAAACACGCTTAGCGAATAACGATACGTAATCGATAATGAAATGTATGGAAGCAATACCTGTCGTTTTGTTTCGGTGCTAACATAATACTTTAGGTCAACGTACGTTTTTCCGCCTGCCTTAGAAACATACTATAGACGAACAATTTATCCCAGGTAAAGATACTCGTCAACAACTTCTAGCTTAGTGCTCCATACAGCTACTGGTATAGGTTTGACATGGACATTACGTGTGGCTATTGAAATTAAAAAACATCCTAATTTTAATAGAGAGGGAGGCTGGGTACTACCACCTGCTTGGGATTCTGTAATTAATAAAATTAAAACTAAACCCAAGTATACCGCTGCTAGATTTCAATACACAGCACAATCATTCTGCGTACATCGGACCAAAATTAATAATTAAAAAAGCTGAAGGTACTCCGGGTTAACTCTGACATCGGGACCTCAATTACCTCAGTCCCCCGTGATCACGGGTTCTGGGAAGCACCCGAAACGTCGGGAATTAATAAAAATAAGATAAATAAGTTAATTAAACGCGAAAAAATCCGTAAAAGTAGTTTTATTCAAAGAGGTTTATTACTTAATTATATTATCTAAATTATTTTATTAAAAATAAAGTTACAGTGAGCAAAAACTAGAAGTACTCTTCATATATATTTATTTAAAAGCATAAACAACAACTCAGTATTGAATAAGAACAATCATTGTTATAATGTGTCATAACTCTATATAGTTTGTTGTCAAAATTAATAAAAGTAGTCATTAGAAAGTATCCTGGCTATTATTTTAAGTCGTATATGTTAAATCCTTACAGAATAGAAGTATTTAAAAGTCCATTATAGTTTTAATAAATTTATGTCACACTTGCCTCGGGTGACTATTCTAATATAGAACATAATTCTGAGTAATAGTTTTAATCCGGCCATACTGCATATTTTATAACCTTATCTTACCTACTATTGGATTGACTTAACACGTCTCATAAAATTGATATGACAATGTCTACGTGGAAATATAAGCGAAAGTTTTCTTTTTTTATAGGATAAGGGTGACATACGAGCACACAGTCCACCTGATGGTAAGTGGTTGCTGCGGCCCATAGACATCTACATTTATCCTCTATTACAAATAAAAATGTAGATGCGTTGTCACCCGTGAGGACTAAGATGGAATGCCTCATTTCCAGTAAAAAGGGCCTACGGCCACCTGTAGTCACCAAACGCAGAGGTAACTTCTACTTCACGCTGGTTTTCTGTGAGGTCGTGGTACCACCCCGGTTCGAGCAGGCCCATCCGTGCGACAGCAAAAGCTGCCACGTGGCTCTACCACTGTGTAAAAAGTTTTCACAAAGAGCTCCCCTTTTGTGTAATATTAATTAAAATTATCACGAAGTACTTAAAAACAAATACTGTAGTGCTTCCGTTACATTCATGACTTTACGTGCGTAACTTGTGTTGCATTGTCAAAATTTCAACGCCACTAAAGAAGTATAACTTTAACAAAACAAGAAGAAAATGCTAACGATATAAACAAATTAATTATTACAAATCCAATTAAATAAGGTAATTTTAGATTAAATACAATAAACAATATTGTATTAAGTTACTTAGGCGAACAAGACAATTATTAAGCTCTAAATTCATAATGGAACAGACATTGCCTCCTGTTGTGTTCAGAAATGGTTCGTTGACTAAGACAACTAAAATCTGATATAAAAGAGCCCTCGATACAATCTCTCATCATTCAAAGCTTCGGCTTATCCTAGTTTACTGTAAATCAGACAGCATTAGTGATATAATTAACTTGCATAAAATGGCTTCTAAATCGTTTGTCATAGTAGCATTCTTTTTATTTACCATAGTATTTGGTAGCATAGATTTCGTTAACGCTGAACCCTCTATGGTTGTTGGTTATGACCCAATGGAAATCTGTATAGAAAACTGTGCCCAGTGCAAGAAAATGCTTGGATCTTGGTTTGATGGACCTCTGTGCGCTGAATCGTGCATAAGAAATAGAGGAAGGTTTATGCCTGATTGTGAAGATTTCGCATCTATTGCACCGTTTCTAATTAAGATTTAAAATTAATAATAAATTAAACCAATTCGGACATTCCAACTGTTAGAAAGTTGCAATTAATTATAATGGGATTATGAAATTAATGTATGTGTATCAATAATAAAAATTTACGAATGGAACACATTTTGTTTAATGAGTTTATTAATTTCTATGTTTTTTTATTTTTATTTTGGTCATATCTGATATGACACGTGACTAAATTTCGCATCGATATGCCTGCTAAGAAAAGTGATCTTAAACATGATCCTTATCGAATTAGAATTGTCACCATTATTAAAAAAAACATGGTGAATTTTAACGATAACGTTGCTTATGTAAGACATGCAGGAAGTCAATAGACAATGGTGGCTCCGAACCGATGTTTAACTGTGGACTTGCAATGGCCTGTAATGATGATGATTTTAACGAAACAATCACGTTATACGTAATAAATTAACGCAATAAAAAGTTGACCGGGTATCGGTAGGTTTCAGCATTGATGCAACAAATCAAATATTGCACGACGTTTCTGATACAGTGCTTGGAACTTAAAGCAGCCCCTATAATTAGAGTTGTAATTTTTTTTTGAAAATATTTAATGCATAAATATTTCAAGTTACCTTATCCTTCATCTAATTCATCGTCGTTGGCACAAAGTCTATATTTTGGTTTTAAGGTCTCAGATATTTTGGACTGAATTTGCATTATAACAATTTAAACTTTACTTATGCTTACTACTAAATTTAAACTTTGTATATGCAATAAGTGAAATAAAAAAGACAACTGACCTCCAGACTGCGTTAATTACTTATAATGCCTATGCACAGGCGTGGCTAAGGTATGGTATTATCCTGTGGGGCAACAGTACAGATGCACCCACCATCTTCATCTTACAGAAAAAGCTAATTCGCATTATGTCTAACATAAAAAATACTGAAAGTTGTCGTCCTCATTTTAAGAAACTTAAACTTCTTACCTTAACTTGTATTTATATATTGGAATTATGCAAATTCGTGCGAAAATACCCTAATTTATATGTAAAAGAGAAACTAAAAATACGGCTTATAGTTTTAGATATGAAAATAAATTATTGGTATCACCCTCTAAAATGAAGCTCTTCTCATCAGGCCCTTACGCAATGTCCATAACTGTCTATAATAAACTACCAAACTCATTAAAAAACGAAACAAATGATAATATTTTTATAAGACAATTAAAAGTGTTTCTAATGAATAAATGTTATTATACTTTATATGAATACCTGAATGACAAATGCAATACTTTAAATAAATGAATGATTAATATGAATAATTATGGACTAATAAATGATATAATAATAATGAATGATATAATAATAATAATGAATTATAAAACATCTATGCGCCATCCTCTGTTCTAATTTTCTAATTTGCTATACCCAACAGGGTCCATATTGTGATAATTTAATTTATTAATTTGTACATTATGGAATGCAAATAAATATTGAGTATTGAGTATTGAGTAAACTTTCTAGCCAAGAATTGCGTTGTTATAAATGCAATAATAATACTCGACTTGTCTTTATTGACGGAGTCGTTAATGGGAATCGTAATTTTATACTGCAGCTTAGGAGAGAAAGGCGAAGATTAGAACATAATACAATAAAGTATATTCGTCCGTTTTTCACTTGAGAAACAAGGGATGCCATACGCAGTATTACGAAATACATCTTGATAAGATTGATAGTTTTAACGATCCTAAATATTCTCTCACTAAATATCTTAAAAACACACTGTATGTATTTTTATAGTTTAAAGTAGTTTATTTACAAACTTTAGTTTTTTTTAAACGCTACCCCACACTAGGATTTTCTCCTGTAACGTGGAGACAGTTTACAAACATATTAATTTGCACGAGGACAAACATCCACACTTGGAACAATTATTTGTAGGCCATACAAATACTTTATCCGTGCGGGATTTGAACCCAAGGCCCCGGCGCATCAACTCATTGCTAAGCCACTGCGCCACGGAGCCGTCAATATTGAATATCTATTAAGTTTAAATTTAACATCTAATAAGTTTAAGTTAAACATCCATAATTGCAACAATGCTCGTATAGTCCAAACATAAAATTCACAAAACTAAACACCTAGGCGTAATGATATATCAACATATTACTTGTTATACACATTAAAAGTAAGTTAAAGATAGAATTCGAAAGCTCATATGGATTTTGAAATCACTGAACCAGATTGTCAGTAAGCACCTTTTAAATCAAATTTATATTTCATTGGTACAATATATAATTGCGTGTTGTATACCAATATGGATTATAGCTACGAAAACCGAATTTCTGGAATTGGGAAGAGTCTAAAGATCCATCTTAAAAGTGAAGTTTTTGTAAAGTAATAGATATTCAATAGAAAATCTGAAATCAACTTATATATACTACCGTTGTACTACCTTGTATTGGCGATGTACATAAGTATATCCACTACCCCATATCGTCCCATGGTTGCGGTAAGTGGCGACAGAGGGAAACAAACCAGGAGATGGGCAGCAACGTCTTCCTAAAAGTAACTCAAAAATAAAAAATAAGGCAAATATCCCCAGTATAGGTTATCTATGAGTTTCATGTTCAGCAGTTAATGTTTGATAAGCGTCGGCGTAGGCACAGTCCTCCTCTGGCTTATGACAGGATTTGAGACCGTCGCGCTTCTTCTGTACGTGTTGGCAGACATCACATGCCCCCGAAATAATTTATTCCTCAGATATTTTGGCTTCTTTCTTAAAAGCCAGTAGGTGGATTATATTTTTAAAAGCCGAGAATTTTTGTATTTTAATTAACGTTTAATTTATAAGAAACTTGCATCCGCCCCGGCTTCGCACAGGTAATTTCTGGATCTTAACAACAGCGCCATCTACCGGGTCCAATTATAAGTCTAAACCATCCACGGCCTCCATCCAACCCACTCAAACACAAAAAAATTCATCAAAATCTCTCCTGCTCTTTACAAGGAGTTCAGTGACACACGCGTTCAGAAGAATTATTATATATAAAGGGTTATTTTTCAAAGAGTAGCCAAATTATAAACATAAGTTCAAATTATAAATAATGATACACCGTTATTGCAGTTTTTGAAAATACGGGAAAATAAGTCTTACTTTTACTTGCAATTATCGCAAATTGTATGTGATTTATAGGTACATACAACATTTTTACATACCGATCGACCCTTACGAATGTGTGCATAGTAGTAAAATCAGTTAAAGTAATGCATTATCACGCGTATTGAGTTTAAAGAAAGAAAAGGACATAATGTTTGAGATTTTTTTCAATGAATTTTTCTTCACCATTTGCTTATTCTGAACCTTCTTTGCAAATTTGTAAATTATAGATTTTACTCTTAGGTAGTTCTATACTTCAACTCTATAACTACCTAAGATATCAGATAAAAAAAAAAAACAAGACAAGTGCGAGGCGAATTTAAGTAGGAGCAGCAAATACAGCTTCAATAGTTCAGACTCCTACGTTGTTCAAATACTCGTCGTTCCCACAGACGTTGCCTTTGAGCACAGCTTTTTCTCTCCGACAAAATTCGTATGCATTTGGAAATTAGAGTTCAGATTGCTTAAGTCAGGACGGCGATATATTTCGTACATGTAAATTATATATAATATGTTTTAATGGCATGTGAATTATTTTGTGATAAGAAAAAAGTGTGGTCAAAATTAAATAATGTTACTACGTAATACGTGGTGTGGTTTGGAAGAAGATTTTGGCATAGAATTAAGAAGGCAATGCTTCTGTGGTTCGGACAGGTGAAAAGTATGAACCAGGAAAAACGTTTAGCAAAAAATATGGATTTAGATGGAACATTGAGAAATAAGTGATAGGTGGCTAGCCAATCCCCTAAACCCAATATCCCATTAGTCACCTTTTTGTTAACCTACTCCTTTTTTAACGGTTAACAGTTAGACTGAGTTTATTTTTTTCTTCAATTTATAAAGCGATAGTTTTTCATTATGGATTTATTTATTCCTAAGGCCTGCACAATTTTATGGGCCACAACATCCACTTACCATCCGATAGTCTGTTTGTTCGTTTATCACCCATATTCTATATTAGCACTTTTTGTAACTAACAATTTCATTGGTACCATCAGATATCTAACTCAAGTTGCCCGCGTACTGTGAAATTTATGGAGAGTGGTTTCCCCTGAGATATCAGAACTATTCTTCAATTCAGTTTATTTATTTTGCTTGCTTCTTCTTCTACAACTCAAACAGTCCCTGAAAGTTTACATATTTAAGAGTTCTTTGTGGAATCATATAACATCGGCAATATTTCTGTACCAATACGACTTAGAGATCTTCAAGAAATGAGCTTTCTACTTTTAAAAAAGGAAAGCTAATAAAATTTATTAATCTAGTAAATATATTCGTGGGCTGGGCAGCCACTGACAGAACAGGCCAGTGGGAGGGAGCGGGGCATATTTACAGTAAGTGAATATTGGTCTCAACCGTTGTGGGGACGATTTGGCTTATCTGCCACACTTGCACACATTTAGTTTGCCACAGTACACTAGTATTTCTTACGGGTCTGGTGTGATCGCATTGGATATACCGACATATATTGAAATCAAAAATAATCAATTAGTTATGGCATTTCTCGAAGTCGTCTCTTATGACCTTTATCTGACAAACGGAGTATGAAACGGTTAATTTTTCTTTTTCATATTCAGGTCGTAAAAGTCCACTACTGGACAAGGGCTACTTACTCCCTTTGTATAGAGGATCTGTCTTAATTGTTACGCTAGTAAGGTGGATTAACGATCGCCGTTCCATACTTCGCCTAACTTTGTCACTGGTAATTGTCACCGATCTGGATATATGGTCGCCACTCAGGATATTTAGGTTCTTATATAAATAATTTCCAATTTTACTTACTTACTTATCTTCACGCACAATCCCTGACGGGGTAGCCAGAGAGAACAGATCGCCAAGTGTCACGATCCTTACATACCTCTTTCGCTTCTTTCA